TCTATGCAAAAAATTAAAATTCTGCATTTTGTTTTTTAATGTATAAGGACCTAATTTATACTTATATATATATATATATATATATATATATACACACTATTTTGTGGTGTCCTTTCATCTTATCCAGTGTAAGTGTCTGTGGCTAATTTCTGTCAGTGTGTGTGTGTTTTGTCTCGTCTCAGCTCCTGTATGCCTCGTACCTGAGCAGCGGCGCTCAGATGAGCGTGGGCTTGAGCGAGGAGGACAGGAGAGCCGTTCTGCTGCGTCTGAGTCCCCCGTTCGAGGATCTGTTTGACCGGGCGGAAGAACATGCTCTGAGAGTCCTGCTGGAGCCCTGGACGCTGTTATCAGAGAAACTCAGAGATGCACCACACACTGTAAGAGTCACAATCACACACTCCACTCAACAGTCATCACATGCTGTGGACAGTACAGATACGGCAGGAGTGGTGTGCTATTGTGAACACAGCCACCTCCTCATGACAGTGATCAGTTAATGCAGTGTCTCTGTCTGTAGGTGGCGCAGTGGCAGGAGGTGCGTTACGCCGAGGCTGAGCTCTTCCAGACTCTACAGACTCTTTACACACACACGCAGAGCAGACGACAGCAGGTAATTCACCCAGCACACACCTGATGCTGGTCTGTGTATGTAGTGCATACTGTGCAGTACTACAGTATGACCTCGTGATGTTGCACTTGTGATGTCAGAGAGAGTGAGTAGTACATCATGATGCTGTTCCACACTGTACATTGCAATAGAATAATCCTGCAATGTGAGAGGCTGCACAACCGCATTCCTATTTTTTTATTCTAGGACCCTGCCAATTCTACTGCATCAGATAATTCAGATTTAAATGATTAATTAAACCGTAAATCATTCCTGAAAGATCAGTAATAGAAATGCAGAATTGAATAGTAAGTGCTATAGAATAGTATAAACATACAGGATCAATCCGCTGGTGTGTCGTCCAGCAGGAGCACAGGACTGCAGCTGCTCCAGCAGAGGGCAGCAGAGCGCCGGGTCTTTGGGCAAAGGTTCCGCGTGAGTTCCGCGGGGTCCGTCTGGATTCTCTGCTGAGGAACCGCATGGAACTGCAGCACTTCCTGTCCTTCCTGGAGGAGAATTCGGCCAGGTGAACGAAGTCCAGCAGGACTGATGTGTGTCAAAGAGAAGCATCCCGTACACTGGTTTGACCCGTGTGGTTGCGTGTGTGCATGCGTGTGTGTGTGTGTGTGTGTGTGTGTGTGCGTGTGTGTAGTCTGGAACTGCAGTGCTGGCTGGACGTGGAGCACCTGAAGAAGAGTGATGGAGCGCTGCTGGAGGAGAGAAACACCAGCATCAAAGACAAATATCTCAGCAGCAACTTCCTGTTTGGACCCGACAGCCCGGCCACTGAAGAACAGCAGATGAGGGTACGAGATCAGCTTGTCTGAATGAGCGTGAGTGTGACTGTCTGCATCTGTGAGAGTTTATGAGAGACGCAGTGTGAGTGACGCGCAGACGATGAATCACAGCACAGTCTGTGAGAGTGTGTGTGTGTGTGTAACTCTGTGTGTGTGTGTGTGTGTGTCTGTGTGTGTCTCTGTGGGTGTCTCTGTGTGTGTGTGTGTGTGTGTGTGTGTGTGTGGGCGGGTGCG